CGAAAATTTGCAGATTTTTGCGAAAATTTGTCGATTTTTGCGAAAATCTGTAAACTAGCAAGGAGGCTCGGCCGATACATTTTTGGATTTTTGGATTTTTGCGAAAATGCGGAAACTAGCGTTTTTGGATTTTTGAATTTTTGCGAAAATCCGCCAACCGGCACGCAAATTTTACGTGCAGCATTTAGTTGACTTAGTAGATATTAGGGGGAAAGGATTATAAGGTTTCTTGATGTTAGTCGGCATGGTAGTTTGAGGTTTCTTTGTAAGAGTTCGCAGGTCAATGAACCCTAAATCCCAAGCTCAAAATCCTAAACTCTAAACCTATGGTGTTCCAGTAACAGCTCTATAGGTCAAGGCCTTCAGGGTTTATAGGGTTTTCAGAATAGGGAATGAGAAGCAGCAGCGACGTGGGAGCCGGAATATAACCCTAAGGGTCCAAGTACCTAATAATCATATACCTACCCAAAACCTGTACTACAGTTACTATTACCTAAAGCCCAAGTATCAAATTATTGGGTACTTGGACCCTTAGGGTAAGCCGATGTTCAGGGGTATCTGTGGAGGGCGCCCTACGACCTTCGCTGCCCGCCCCGGGCGCAGCCAGTGGGGTTCAAGGCCTGGAGTTTAGGTTTCCAGGGGCTACCTGGACCCCAAAAGCATGTAAAATAATAGCCCTAAACCCATAATAGTAGCCATCAAGGCCATTACTTTACATACTTTTGGGATTGAGGTAGAGTTTAGAGCTTTCAGCCAGTGGGCCCTTTCCGCCTGTATGGTTACTGGTTATGTTGCAAACTCAAGCGATCACGCTAGTCCGTCTGCTAGCTAGCCACGTCAGCCACGTGCTGATTGGAGTTCAGGACTTAAGCTTGGCCCTGCAGCTTCCGGTACTTACCCAGAGGGTCCAAGTACCCAATAATTAGGTGCTTGGGTTTTGGGTAATGGTATTTACAGTATAGGTTTTGGGCAAGTATATGATTATTAGGTACTTGGACCCTTAGGGTTACACAGCCAAAGTCACACTTGTCCTGAGCATCCGGCATCAGCCGATGATGTAGTAGCGGCATCACAGACATGCCGCGTGCGAATCAAGAGCAACGCGTTTTGTTGTTATGACAACCCAGTAAAAGATATAACGCTAATTAAGCGGTAGTAGGAATTTCAGGGTTGCTCCCTCATAATTGCCCGGGAGCTGCACTTGACGCAAGGAGACTCCTGGGCAGATTTTGGAGGTTGCTTTGCAGCTATCTGAGCTTCCCTTACATATTCCTAAAACTGGGTTCCATATCCGCTACAGTTACATAGACCAGTAGCCTACTATTTAGGTAGCTGGAAGCCCTAGTGTTCTTCTCAGCAACATGTTTCTCGCGCCACGCGTGTGAAGATGTTTTTGTTGTCACTCTTCTTGCCAAGGATGCCGTATGCCTGTATCTCTGCTAGAAATAACTTGCGGAAGACCAAACCGTAAACCTGACCGTTGGATGTCTTGTGGTGTATATGTAGGCTCGAGCCTTGGAATCAACAAGGCGTCCGACCCCTGGCACATTATAAACGTTTCCACCACTTCGCAGCTACTAAACACTCCCACCAACGGCATTCCCAACGAAAGTGGAGGGTGTTTTATCGTAGGGGTTTTGTCCTCCAAGTGCAAAGATCGATCAGTCAGGAAGCGTCGGGGGCTGGGAAGTAGGATGGCTCTTGTGAAAACTGTTCAGGCGTGTACACTGACTCTTCCTCTGGATTCTGACCAGGCAACTGCATGCAAAACGGAAAAGTAGGCATGCCTCTGAAAACTGGTTGCTCAGACTGCCACAACTGCACTTGAATTTGCACATGGCAAGGGCTTTCCAAAATGTTGCGACGCTTGCTCTGAGCATGAACAATGTCCTACCAATTTGAAAGCAGGAAACCCTCATAATCAAGACCCGCGCGCACAGAACTCTGGTTTAGCAAATGGCTTGCCTAATCACGTCACAGTTGTCCCTCGTTTCTTCCAACACAAACCGCCGCGGCAGCAATGGCTCTCGAGAGTACCTATGCTGTTGCTGATTTGGTTGTGACACATTGCGGTGGTTCCTTTGGAACCCCGGGAATCAGAACTGGGATCACAACAGCAGCCACACCAAAAGCTGGCACCAAACGTGCGTGGCTCATGGGTGCGCAAGGAACGTCATGTCGTGGAGGCAAAGGAAAGAGATGAGGTCTCCCTACGACGGGCACATGTCGTTTGAACTCCTGCAAACAAGAATCGGCTCGGTCTCACAGGTCCAGAAGGCACTGAAATCGCATGTGCCGTTTCGGTGCAGGTCAGTGTCGATCCAGCTCGAGACTTTCATGGCCATGTTTCCTCCTTTGTTGGGAAGGTTCATGAAACAGCAATTATTGTTGACGACGCACTCCCTCTGGCGGAGTGGTAGCTCGCACTGGCCTGAGTTGGCGTAGAGAAACATTGGATGTCGAGATATTGGTTCGGGCCTCTGGGTATACCTTTAGACCTTCTTGCTGCTTCCACATGCTGGATAAAAGACAACGTTCTGGTTGGAGCACTGCAGTCGAGGGTTTAGGGTTCATTTGCAGAGGCCCCAACAAGCCATATGAGCCACTGTCTAAACTCCTAGTATCCCCCTTAATAACCCCTATAATACTCCCCAATATAATCCCCTATATAACCCCCTTTAAGGAGTTTAGACATAGCTCATATGCACACAAACAACCCGCAACTGGGCAAGCTGTACTTGCTGGGGTAGTTTCGGCTTTGGCTGGTCAAGTTTCAAGTTAATTACTCTTAATGCAGAAGCCTTATGAATTGCAGTATGACTGTGAGGCCCATGTGGGGTACCCTAGGCCCTAGTTATAGAATTGACCTGGGATCATAATGCTGGTAATTGTGTAGTCACAAAGAGTACCCTAAACCCTGAACCTTAAACCCTAAACCAGAAGGCTCAAAGATTCAGGGCTTCCTGGGGTTTCCACCCTAGATCCTAAACCCTAAACCCTAAACCTTAAACCATGAACACTGAACCTAAACCCTAAACCTTAAACCCCCTAACCCTAAAGCCCCTGAAAACTTAAACCCCCTAACCCTAAAGCCCCTGAAACCTTAAACCCCCTAACCCTAAACCCTAAACCCCCTGAAACCTTAAAACCCCCTAACCCTAAACCCTAAACCAGGAGTCGTCTCTGGAGTTACGGATCCAGGCTCTGGGTATTACATATTGCTATGTACCTATATGGCGGTTTCCCAAAATTGGGGGTACCACTTTGGGGGTTCCTATAATAAGGATTATAATATATTGGGGTCTATATTGGGCTCCCGTCATTTTGGAAAACTACCATATGAGGGGAATAAATAGGTTGAGGGATTAAGGTTTAGGGACAGATAAGGATCTATAAGGTCAAGGCTTCCTGAAATTAGGGTTTAGGGTTTAGGGTTATTAGGGACGGTTCGGATGTCTCTTTACAAGGATTGTCATATTTGGGGCTCGAAATTGGGTTCCTCTTATGTTGGAAACGACCACATGCTATTATGTACCTCTGTTACTATATGAGCGACGACTTTTATTCATTGTCTGGCTGATTAACCGTATTTATAATCCGTGGTCCCTCATCTCGTTTGCCTTAGATTTGATCTGATTTCTCA